CGGCAGAACGCAGAGGGCACTACCGGACCTCAACCGCAAGCGGCAGATCGCAATGGGCACTACCGGACCTCAACCGCAAGCGGCAGATCGCAGTGGGCACTACCAGACCTCAACCGCAAGCGCCACACAATCACATCAATCACGAACATGTCAGACAGCATGGCAAGTAGAGTGTCAGGACACAACACAATCAAGCCGGGGGCAATGAGACAGACGTGCTTGCAATGTCGCAGACGAAAAGATAGACGAAAATATTGTCCTTGCACGGTGGTTATGCCTTGGGGATCTTTCGAAGTAGAGTAATTTCCTTGGGTTACGGGCCCCACGCATCGCAAAAACGGCCCTGCCTATCTGTAGCGTTGCCACCCATTTCTCTGGTCGGACTTTGTGCATGCCTCTTACAAAGGACACTTTTTAGATCTTTGTGTGTCCAGGCATGGTTTGGTTTTTGCAAGTTATTTAATTTTTGGGGTCTCCTTGGCCATCCCCGTTGGGTTACTCCTGAAAACCAATGCACGCCAGCATGCTGACCGAGATCCTTCCAAATGTCGTTCCTTTTGCAGGGTGGAAGAAAAAACATGTGGTGACCTTGCGCCAGCTGCTCGCCTAGATCCATGCATACTGCATCACGGCGTTTTTTGGGACATTTGGACGCTCCAGAATGGAATTTGTTCTGACCAGGTATGTGAATGATGTGTTCTTGGGGGAGTGGGTTGCTCCTCGGCTTGGGCACCCGCCTCATTTGATCGAACTAGTGGTGTGCAGTTGTCACACCAGACAGATAAATTAAAAACGGCATGGCTAGCACGTCAGGCCTTTGTTGGTAGATCCCGTGACCAATTGCCCAAAGGCTGGATGGTGTCTTGTAGAATTTTTGAGTTGTGTAGCGGGAAGCGAGGTCCCTGGCATTGGAAGTCCCGTGGCTGCAGCATTTGTCGGCTACTCAGCGCAGTGTATGCCTGCAGAGTAGTTGCTTGACTTTGCAGTACATCACCAGCACGGGTGTATGGTATAATCCCAAAGGGAGGGAAGGTTGTGTGCTGGGCTGGCGTCATTTGCAGGATTCATGACTTTGTTTTACCTTCTCTTCCTTTTCCTACTTAGGGTATCTTAGGGTTGGGTTTGCGCTCGGCTCGCGATCACCAAACTGAATGACAGTCTACATTCAAGGCGATGCTCATCAAACAAAGATTGTCCACTGAGTAACCAAATGTAGTTTAATTTAAGAAAATTTGAGCATGGGAAACAACATGAAACGATGAAACAACTAATTACGAAATGGGAATGAACGATCAATATATCAGAAAGAGAGAGGGAGTATGAGGGAGGAATCTCTAAGTTCAGATCCAGAGGGCTGATCTGACAGGCAGGTAGAACTGTTGCAGGGGGTTGCGTATTGACTAGGCAATAGCGGTTTGTGCAGGCAGTTGCAAAAGCTTTGTAAAGCAAGCTGAGGCGCCGGCCTTGAGAAAGATGACCTTCCGACAGAGTCAGCAGGCACAGCGTTGTTCCAACCTGATGTTGATGGGCTGGTTTCGCAAGTGTTCTCCTGGTGACACAACTTCAGAGATAGGATGCTCAAAGGCTCAAACCAAAGCCGGCACTCACAGCTGAATTGTCACAAGCCATGCTACTATCATGCCAACTGTTCGTAGTTTGTACTGTAGTAATTGTTCAAGGCTTGGCGATGCTTTGGGTGTAAGAAACTACTGACAGCAGAGGCCAAGCAAACTTAGATTCTAGACTATAGACGAACCTACAATCAGCATCAATCAGCGCACTAATGGTAGCAAGTTGATTCTTTTTCAGGGGCAGTTTGGGCACATGTTCATGTTTTCGCAGTCGCAGCGTTTGACAGTTCAACCCTCAGGATGTGGAAGGAAAAAATGCCAAGACACGTGACGAGGACTTGCACGTTTTACTTGTTGGGCGGATCATTACCGGACTGTGCGGAAATGCTAGTTGCTGGCGCCACGCAGTTTCAGCCCGAGAGAACAGCTTAGTAAAGGACTTGGGTGTCGCTTCGAGAGTATATATTTCTAGGTAAAGCACAACTAAGACTCACTCCTATATTGATATACATATACATACATATATATAACTACTGTATATATATATATGTAACATATATAAATACTATTAAATAGTCCCCAAATGGGTGCAGATCTGAAATCGTTTGTGTAATTTAAAGTAGGAGGGGTGCGGTACCTTAAAACGGGATCCACCTGCAGACGAGACAAGGGTCATTTTGGAACCAGGATTAGGATCGGTTGGGAACGCGGGAGATTAGTTTATCAGAGCTGTCCTCTCCTCTTCCTTCTCCTCTTCCACAAATACCAGATCGCAGTGGGCACCTCCAGGCCTCACCCGCAAGCAAACCAGATAGAAAGAATGCCAGAAAATGCCAGAAGGAATGTCAGCAG